AATATAACTCAAGCCTCTCTCCTCATAAAATTGCCCCAAATAACAGTCTCATTCAATTACTCACCAAATCTTCTCAGACTTCAGGACAACAAATTATCATGTACGTCAAGCATTATGTTTACGTAGATGATATAGTTGTAATAGGAATGATCATGAAGGAATGGAAGCCTTACAAAAATGTTTGACAACAGAATTTGAAATTAAGAAGTTAGCCAGATCAAAATATTCTTTGGGCATTTAAAGTGGCTCATTCCCATCATGGCATTTTCAACTTCCAACAAAAATATGTGCTGGATTTATTGGCTGAAACTGGTAAATTAGGATGCAACCTAGTGGAGACAACTATTCAACAAAATCACAAACTTAGTGAATCAATTGAAGACATAGTTGTGGGTAGAAAATCTAATCAAGGTTGGTCGAGAAATTGATCTAGTGGTCTGGCACTGGCCCCAATATTACTATGTTTCTGAGGGATGCGGGCAAGTCAGTTAATGTCGTGATAATCCCAGGGAGAGAAATCATCTCAAGTTGTTTATCAAGCATTCTAACGGTATCTTAAAAAGAACTCCTAGAAAAGAAATTCTTTTCACAAAGGGGAAGAAATGATTTAGAGCCTACACAAAATGTTGACTATGTAGTATGTACGGGTTTCCATAGACGATAGTAAGACCTACCTCTCGATAATGCACTTTTCTTGGAGGATATTTAGGTGGTGTGGTTTTTTGTCACTTGAGAGCAAAAACAAATATTGTAGCAAGATCAAGTGTAGAGTCAAAGCTTGACCGATGCCACAGGGATTTGTGTAATACTTGTGATAGCTAAAGACATTTTTAAAAGACCTGAAGATTCATTGGAAGAAGCCTATGAGATTGTATTGTATAACAGACAAAAAAAAAAACAAAAAACAGCCATATATATTGCGCATTATCTTGTGCAACATGATAGAATTAAGCTGTTGAAGTAGACAAACCACTTCACAAAGGAAAATAGTGGAACAATGGACAATATGTACGCCAGTGTACGTCTAGAAATCAACTTGTGAGATGCATTTTGTACAAAGGCTACATGTGCCCCTACATGTTTAGTCTATATTGGCCCAATTAATGAGATCCACTCACCAACTTGAAGGGGAGTGTTAGAATCCTTTTAGAAGATTTAATTACATTTCATAATTAGGAGAATTAATAGACTAACAGTATATTTATATTTATTGTACAAGACCATTGATCCTGAATTCTAGGATAGTGGTAGTATTGTGGGGTTTCCATCATATAATTAGGATTTTAAGTTCTTATGTCAGTGTATTATGTGTGTTAGAGAATATTATTGTCCTGCTATGAATAATGAGGTTACTGAAAAACAGTGTTTTTTGTGCCTGGAAAAATATATTGTAAGGGTACTAGGGAAGAAAGAATACAAATATTGTTAATTGCCATTAAATAAAGAAGAATGGTCTATTAGACAGTCAATATTTATTCTCTGCAGAGTGCATTTGCTCAAACATCCCACAGTTGAAATTGTTAAAACTCATTACAAATCTTTGTTTGAATATACGCTCTTATCATAAATGATCCCTTAATAGCTAACAGCAGGCATTAATACTGAACTACAGATCAAATAAGATTTTTTGCAATTCTCAGATTGCTAAGGATATGAAGGATACCCTTATCCTCTAAACTAATATGTGATAAATAGAAAAGGAATTCAGATATTTAAGTAATATCAGTGAAATCCTTTCATTCCAACAGAATACATTACCTGACAGCATAAACAACAAAAATACACTGATCACTCCGTTATGATCAAATGTAATACCAAACCAAGAAAAGTGCCTCAAAGTTGAAGAGCACACATTTGGCTTACCATAGCCCACAAAAAGTCAAATCTATTAAATTATATGATTATGATTGACAGATTTTGTTGGATTATCGTTGGTTTGAAGGCTAGTGAATATATGTTGGTTTGTTCAATGCCCCACGTACTATCTGGACACAGTGCAAGAAAAGACTGCATACCTTTTAATATCAAGTTAAACTAATTAGTCCACTGATCTCCATCAAACAATATTGGACACAATATATTTAGTTTGGTAATAGTAGGAAGTTTAGCCGGAAGTTGCTATACTCTGATGGCGGTATTTTGTGTCGCATGGTTATAATTGGAACAATACGCGTTGTCAAGATAGTAACATCCCACCAACTTTTTTGGGAATTGTTTACAGAAATATTCTGCAGATGGGAAAGAAACCCAGAAGTTACCATCATTGTTTGAGAGAGATTTCACATAAAAGATTTTGAGTAATGACACCCAGCTTACTCTGCTGTTTTGGACAAGAGTGTCGAGTATGGCATGTTCAATCCCATGTCAGACAATAACTACCTGCATGTTGTGACAGAAACCAGTTCTGTTGTTAACCAAAATACAAACAAAAAATATATCATCCTCAACTGGAACTACAATTGTCGACTGGTGAACAAAGAGAACTAGAATCCTCGGTTAAATGATTTCAGTTAATAAGTTGTGATTGGTGCAATGTGGAATTGTTTCCCCCAATATAGTTGTAATTATGAAATTTTCTGTATGAATACTCTGTTACAGTTTTCTTTAGCAAATTTTTAGATAATTATTGTTGTAATAGTTTCTTTCCTCTTTTAGAATTTGGTTTCCTACTTTCATCCTAATGTAATTATCCTCTACAAAAAGGACGAACCCTACACAGATTAATCATCAATAACATTTTCATATTTTCAACTCAATGAGATAGAGAAAACATAAAGACTGATTTGATAAACTACAACCCTCCATGTTGCTCTAACTACCACATACAGCCCAATATTGTCATTTGGACAATGTGTTTGATCCAAACTAGTGGATAAAGCAAGATTATTTATAATGTATATTAAAAATTAAAAATCTATTATATAAGTGGTAGTGTACTGCATCACATATTCAAAGTTAGTCTCCATGCCTGGAGAGCTTGGTTAGTTTTGGTCATGCGGCCAACCTTAACTGCAGCACCTTCATTGTGCTATGTATGAGAGTTTGGTTCTTATCCTACATTAACTGAAGATAAGGTTAAGAAGTGCTCATAACTAAGCAATCATTATCTTACAAACTAATTTTATGAGATTGAATTAGACCCATGCCAAACGTAAAATCTAATGATATCAAACTGTGTTTCCTTGGTATATATAGTGTGGGTTGGTTGGGCCACCTGCACTAAGCCATAACTCGAAGCCTATAAGTGTTTGTAGACAATGTCTCAAAAAGGGCTATCTAGGAAGGGGCTACCAGAAATGTTCAGTGGTGGCATCATATTGGTGCAGTTGCTGAACCACAAGTCTAACCAGGTTGAGACCCGCAATTGATTAATCACAAAGCATAATTAGAGACTTATATGCCAGAAGCAATTAAGCATTGAACAAGCTAAGGTTGAGAGAAGCATCACACCGTGCAGTGGTAAGACACCAACTTTTGAGGTAGACACCCTAAAAGTTTTGTCAAGCTGAGATAGTTCTTAAACCAAATTCTAAACCCAAAAAAACTAAATATTTGCACATGCCTTCGGCTAATTCAACATCTTGTGAGTGAATCTATAGTACTCGGTATCTAACATGGCCAAGAATGAATGAGATAAAGAACTTAAGGAAAGCTTGCTTGAGTTTAAATGACCTATAAACAGAAATCAAACGGAAGTTTGAAAAGTAAATATCTAAAGGGCTCAAATTGATACAAGTGTCTATGGCTAACAAGAAAAGTTCAGGGTTTTAACACCGTTTGTTTGTGTTAGATATATTAGATTATTAGATATTTTAAACAGATATCTTATCTTTATCTTTTATCTTTAATTTGTTTGTTATTATTCCTTATTTATATTTTGGACTTAGTCTATATTTCTTTTATTATAAATAGAGTATCCTATATATATTTCAACATAAGGAAGATTAAATCCATACATAGTTTTTATTATATTGAACAGCTTGCAATAAAAGTTTCATTAATTTTGCTAAAGAATTTTACTAACACCACATAGTCACCATAAATAAGCTTCATGAGTTGTATTCACATTTCTTTTATATAAAGTATTCTCATTTCTTTTATATAAAATTGCTCTTCTTGGTACCCAGTCAAGGTATTGCAAAATTATACAACTGCCTTCTAAATGAACTTCTCTTGGACAGTACATTATAAATTGGCCAACCAAACTTACAATGAATGCAATATCCAGCCTTGCGAGTTTGAGGCTGGGTTCCCCAAATGGTTGGGTGATTATCAATTCATATTGGAACTAGTTGTGAGTACCTTGGAGAGGACTACCTACAGAGGGTTCTGACTATTGGAAGGTTCTGACTAGAGAAAGGTTGAAAGAAATGTCACCATGTGAAGTCTTGTTCAATGAAATCCGCCAAGAGGTTGGCTCTAAGGAGCCGTGCTAACTTAGGAACTTGGGTATTATGGGGTAGCTAAGTCCCACATCAAGTACTATAGGATGTTTGGTAGAGTATTTAAGTGTTTGGTTCTCCCTCCTTAATAGCTAGCTTTTGAGAGCGGGTTCCAATGTGCTTGGGTGCCTATCAATCATCATTACGTCTAGAGAAAGTCCTTTCTAAGAGAGTCGTCACCAACTCTTTTAGTTTAAATGATAAACTAGCAAATGTCCTCTCAAAGCTTCTCAAGGACCCTCAATTCAGTATACTTATTCAAAGCCCAGTACATTTTTCATGTATGCTCCAAAATAGTATTGGATATAAAACATGGTTGGATAAGTTTATCAATAAATACTTCTAGGAGTGAAAATAAAATAATTTCTCCATAAACTAAATTTAGCTTATACACAAGTTGAAATAATACTTTGAAAATTATATGAGAGTTTCTACAATGTAGCTTATACATAAGATAATTTTAGCTAATGGAGAAGTTCATTCTTATTTTTCTTTTTTAAAAGCACTAATAAAGAAACTTATCCAAACCCTTACGAAGCAGTCCCATAATTAATTTTCTAGTTGATCGACCCAAATAGTCTTATTCAAGCACTAAGGAATTAGCATCATCCTTAATTGTCATGTTAGCAAGTTGTAAGGACTTTTAGCGTACGGAAATATCCAGACTGCTTAGTGTTGTTTGTTCAAGAAAATCAGACAGTTTCAACTCTAAAATTCTCAAAACCTTTCTCATTAACAACTTAACACGCAAAAGTCAGTTGCCACTTAATTCATGAAAATATTCAGCAAGGACTAGTACACACTGGACATTAGCAAAGAATGAACCCACTTTTAAAAAGACACGTAATGGGAATAGGGTTTAAAAGCATGTTGTATACAAAATTAATAATGAGGACAATAATAATAAAAGCAGGACACCGGTAAAAATATTTAATACCCTTTCATTATGAAATTTGATGGACGTAAAGACGTCATAAAACTCCAACAAGTTTGATAAAATGTTTGCATCAACTGTAACTTCCAGTTGTTCGAGTATTCCCTGTTAACACAAAATTGGAAAAGAAAATATGATATAGCAGGACATTTCAGCTTTGAATATGCATACCTACACGAGCATACCAATGCTCGCCACTTACAACAATGTTGGATACCTTCACTGACATGTCCATATCTGTATGGGATGAAAATTTTACTCGAAAGCTGCAGCAATCATCCAAATTGTCCAGTAAATGGTTTTCAGCAACAGGCTGCAAATCAAAGTATATAACCATCGTCGGTAATAGAAATTGAAATAGGAAAAGTCGAATAACTATCAGGTTAAAGTTCCTAGCATTTTGTTCTATCTTATTTACATTGTGAAAGATGAAATGAAATAATTTTCGGAATCCAGTGAGTAAAATTTGGAATAAAACATCAAAAGGAAAATTGTCACGGCAAGGTTTATATCAAACTGGAGAAAAATCTATCCAATGCCCATAAAAGTAACACTACTCTCTGGCAATGACTGTTGAGCAGTAAAAGAGCCAACAGCCAAAAATATCTGTTAAACAAATAGAAAGCTTACAGGTTGGGTGGCTAAAGAAAAAATGAGAAATATAAAGAACCATGTATCCAGAAGGAAGTTGGAATGATACCCCTGCAATATGTACAACGACTTTCTTGTTGCTTAGATCAACCATTTTGACAGATTTGAATTTGGATATAACAATTCCACGATCTTTGTAGATCTTAGACTTGACAGTTCCACCTTCAACAATTATTTCTGCAATTCCTTTACCATGCCGCCTTAGAAAATGAAAAAAAGATTGGGAAAATAAACATAATTAGTTGACTACGTAAGAGTCCAAGGACATGGCTACATGTTCTATTTCATATCACATAAAAATCATATCCGAGACAAAGTTTAGTAAATGAAAAAATGAGTAGCATTCTAAAATTGAGATTATGTTATAATTTTATAAATATAAAAATCACAAAGACCTGAATTGATAAAAATCAAGGAGAAAGTGAGGGAAAATGAATTTCTCTTTCTTTATTTCAACAGTAGGGTTAAAGACAAATAAAACACGGATTTCACTGTTTAAAAATTTAATATAATGCTCCTAATAGGTTACTTTAAATATAGTAAATGATCTCACTCATACTCCGGACTGTGTTCCAACTAAAGGCCTAACAGCTGGGAAAGAAACATTACATTAAACAGCATAAACGGTATGACTGGCTACAGAACTGAACAAAGATACTCTAACATGAATATGTGATAATAGAAATCATTCCCCTAGGATTTAGATGAAAAAAGTATCTCAAAATGCTTTTGAACAAAGGATACAGCGCCATACTTGCTACAAAACGTAGCAGAAATCTGATCAATCTCAAACATCATTGAAAAAATGCATAATTCATGCTTTGCAGCAGAATCAAAACTGGACGATACAAGAGGATGAAATTCAGTTGCTTCAGACATATCCTGCAAAAATACAGAAAACAGAAAATTACACAATGCAATATGTGATTCTGATGTTTACAATTCATTTGGATATAGAAATGCCCTGACCTAACAGAATAGCAAAGAAAAACAATTATCTCGCCAACAAATACACCCAGCTTCTCATTGTTAAGAATTATGATTGATTATTTGAGATATTTATTTTAATCAGTTAGTGTCAACCAATATTAATAGCATAAGGGGGATGACCAAACACTTCAATATTCTACCAAGCATCTTATACTAAGAAGAAGTAAAATTAGGTACCCAATAGGACTCAAGTCCCTATCATATTTTTGTAGTATTTTTCTACAAGTTTTCGGCCAAACAACAGCAAGCGCATTGAAGGATGCATGTACCTTAACATCAAATGACACAACTCCAGAAAATTGACTTGAATCATCAGTTCCTCCGGCCCCAAGCATACCACGAGAAAGCCAGTTTAACCATCCCTGAGATTTAACAGTGTGTTCATCATTGCAAGACTTCTCTGTGGGAATATCAGTGCTAATCTTGCCATTGTTAGGAGTTGAACACCTTGAGAGAAATTCCTGTAAACATAAAAAGGAGAACATTTGAAAACAAATCACACATCACAAAATGTCTTAAAGAAAGTGAATGTAGAAAACTTAGTTAACAAACTGCACTATTTGTGATTTTCACTCTGACAAAATAAGAAGCTAGAAGATTAACATAGGCAACCGCTTACAATAAAAGCTAATTTTAGTAGTAGCTGACATGTATAAAAGCTAACAGATGTAACAATTACTAATTATTCAACCTCACAGTATTTACTCTAACACAACCTCCCTCCCTCCCTCTCCCCCTAAGGCCTTGTCAGCACATCTCCCATTGATCAAGAACAAGAATATGATAGATAAGAAGCTAATATTTTCTTGGAATAGAGTTTGCTTATTCCAAGAATGAAATTTTCCTCTCCCAAAGGAATGTACTTGATTTTCAAAGAAAAGGAAAGTTGGGATGTTAGAACCTTAACAGTTCCTATAGAATAGAATCACAAAATTGGAAATGAAGAAAGTGTTACGGTAGAGAAGACCCAATATCACAGATTTATAGGAAAATTTATTTATCTATCACACGCAAAACCAAACATTGTGATAGATTTCTTTAAGCAAGAAATCAACCACACTAAAACACACTCACACGCACCCAAAATACTGGAAAAGATTTTGTTTATTAACCTTGAGACCAAAGAATACAGAGTACAATGTCAAACACTATCAAGGGTACACTCTCCCTTCACATAGGACACAATGGTCCTATCTATACAATCAAGCAACAAAAACATGTCCGTCACCAGACACCCCTGCCCTCTTATAAAGCCACCTCATCTTGCTAACCAACCTCTAACTATCCAACAAACTTTCTAAGCCTCCTAACCGGCCAACAGCCTACAACCTCCTAATTAATTTCTTTTCCTCCTTTCATATACTTTTAAAACCCTATCACATTGCTTATGCAGTTAGTGTAGTGAGCCAATTTATACATGATCCAAGAGAGAGACACATGCAAGCAGTTGACAAAAACTCTCCAGTACTTGAAGTCAAATCTATGAAAGGGGTTATTATTCAAAAGAAAGACACATTGACTATGAAAATATATACTACTGATGCTGATATTAGGAATATTCAGGTCACAAAAAAACCTATTCTCACTGAGTATTTTGTATTTGTGTGTTTTTTTGGAGATAGTATGGGAACGTAGAGGAGCAAAAAGCAAGATTAGAGTATTTTGTTTAGTGCAGAAGCTAAATTTCGAGCTCTTGCTCAAGGAATGTGTGAAGGACTTGGATAAAAATCATTTTAGATGACCTTAAAGTCAAGGTGGACAACCCTGTGAAACTATACTGTGACAATAAGTGTGCCATGAGAATGCCAATAATCCAGTACAACATGACAGGACCAAACCCACTAGATTGACAGACATTTTCATTCAAAGATAATTTAGACTGAGGATTGTGATTACAACTCAGTTCTTACAAAACTTCAAATAAACAAATATTTTACAAAAGGGCTCCCTCAGGGTAGATTTCAAGATTGTAGGCAAGTTGGGAATGATTGATATTCATTTACCAACTTGAGGAGAGAGTGTTGTAATTAGAATAAAACCTTCCTAGTTAAAGAAAATATTTGTAGAATCTTCTAGTTTATTTTTCAGCATATTTTTTTTTCTTATTTCCTCTTTTGGAAGATTAGATTGTTACAAATAAGTGTAAAGAAAATGTAAAAGACATGAATGATAAGAATAAAAATCATTCTCCTTTTCAAGTAATCCCCTACCACCAATCTTAATTTATATTTATTTATAGAGTCATCTTCATTTTCCCTGACTCTAAAACCTACTTAAAGCCAAAACACTTGTCTACGAAGAGGTAGAGATACTAAGTCCTATGTATTTTGCTGCATGACTGCACTGTACTCCTGCTGCATCAAGCCAACCAATTAGCAACCTCAAGTGCTTGCTTAAAATTTTTAGGTACAGAATGAGAGAGAAACAATGAGGGATGAATTCTAGATTGTAGAATACCAGATATAGGTTGTAGTCTCAAAGATGAGTTTTTAAACTATGTAGTTGTATTAGGAAACAGAAAGAACAGACTCAGAAGCGATGAGTTAGAGGTGAGGTTAGATAGCATATTAAAAGACTCAAGCGCAACAGAAGTTGTTGTGAAGGAGTGGAGAATTTTGAGGTGGTGTAAGAGTGAGAGCTATGCTGAAATACAAATTAAGATCTTTAACAGAATTGGAAGCATTTGCGAAAAGAATCTACACAAGGAAACCATGTTCATTAAACAGAACATCTACTCTGCCACTGGTGATAGACACTTAACCCTGTGAATAGAGAACAATCCCAAGAAACAAACATTCCTCAGATTTCAGAGTTGAATAAAATATGCAAGTCAAATAAGGAAAATAACACCACCAAATGAACGCTGAGTTTTCATTAAATAACTTGGAGCACATTCACCTGCATCTCAGATTCTGCAGCAGATCGATAATTCAGTATGTCATCTAAATCTGATTCCTTTTCCATTGGCTCCAAATCTTGAAGAACGTCATCATCAAACTAGCTAATAAACACAAAGCTTAATCATCATTAACAGGAAACAATACAAGATCCTAATCTAAAACATAAGTTCAAAAGAGAAAATGAGAATGTAATGAGAACCGTAGTGGCATAAACTACACAGCAGAGCTGAATTATTAGAGAAAAAACTATAAGGCAAATATCAAACTTATCCTAATTATCAAAATTACATCATTCCATTAGCATTTGCAATTAATACAAGTCATTTTTACCAAGGTTGTTTATCTGTAATTTATTAAAGGACCACCCAATCCAAAAGATTTCATTAAAACACATCCAACAAATAATTTAAATAAACAAGGTTTAATCAGTCATTCAGTCTTTATGCTGTGCAATTTTCATTTTAGAAAACTATACCTAAACAATCAGCTGCAGTCCCAACACGAACAATTTTTTTTTTTTTAGTATAGGAATGTGAAAAATATATTTGGCTACTTATTATTAGGTTTAGACTTGCCAGCTGCCAGGGTGACAGCTGACTACAGCTTTTTCAGTTACTTGTAAAACAAAGATATTGGTTGCTATAAAGATGGACAGCTAAATAAAATATCCAACCTGTTGAGATAGAGAGCAAAGAAGCCCATCAATGCAAGTGATAACAAATATGAAGTCTTTGATACAGGTTATGAATTGGTTGCACGTGCCAGGATAAATGGAGTTCTTACAGACCATGGGGATAAGTGAGTAGAACTTGTAACCAAAAGTATGTTAGAATTATGATTTGGGACTAACTCAACTCAACAAAAATGGCTTGTTTGGAAAAAGTTGTCCCTCACATATATAATCTTTTCAGATTCTTTCCCTAGTCAATGACATGGCTCTTTTTCCTAATACACCCCCAATGTCCAAGCCTATTTGGCTTTTGCCAGGGTAATAGGTAGGTGGCCCTTTTAATGGATCTAGGATGGGTTTTGTACTCCGTAAGGGAGGGTTTTCTTTTCCATTATTTATGCTTTTTTCGCCTGTCTCTAAAGATTTGAATGAGAGCTGGTCTAGACAAGGTTCATTAGTCAGAGGTGTTGTGAGCCTGAAATTTTGACAAATGAAAGTTCATTGTGGCCAGAAACAACCAAAGATGAAGATCAAAAAGTGTCTCAAGCTGCTGCAATGACTGCATAGCATCATGAACAAGAGACCAAAGTTGAAGCATGGTTAAAAATAAGGACCTCCACTAAAAAGTAGTCGGCATCAAGCCACTTAATACATTAAAAGAGAAATGTTAAACAAGACTTAGGGTGAAACCCATGTTCATGATGCTGATTATCAGATAAGGAAAAAAGTGTTTCCATGAATCATGATTTATCCTTACATTGTGAATAAGGACACATACATACTCTCAAAGCACACTCAAACACTAAATGTATTGTACGCAAATTAAGGTAGGAAAAAATAGTTTGGACACCAATCTTTTTTATCTACATTCATTTGACAACTAACTTTTATAATAAAATATTATAGTAAAATAATAATATAAACCTAAATAAAATAATAACTTATGAAGTTGTAACATGAGTGTAAAAGAAAAATGGAGGTGTCAAACCATCATCATCCTAAATGTATTTCATGCAATTAAATGCATCTCTACAATTTTGTCTCCGAAGTTGGTGGGTGCTATCACATAGTCCCTCAACCAAAGAAATTTTTCATGTAAATCACAGCAGTCTAACACGTGACTTGAGTAACAATATTACCATATTTTTGGAACCTAAATGACAATAAGCGATTAAACTTTGGGACTTAGATTAAAGAATTAATTCCAGAGGACTTTATTCACCTCTAACAGCAAAAGTGGAAGTGAGTGACAGTTCAGAGATTAAAAAGGTAGGTCATTTACTTGTAAATGAAAATATGACAATTCTTTGTCAGTAACTCTGAAAAGTCATTTCCATTTTAGTCCATCTAATAAACTCATGATTTTAATTCTTCACTAGGGACTAAAAAACGTGCTTTTCCTAATTGTTAAGGGAAAATAGATTGAAAAATATATATACCAAATAAAACCAAAATAAATTATATTTCCAAATACCAAAAAATATAGTTTGGTTATATTATAAACATATATTTGGTTCCCATCAATATGTTTTCAAAGAAAGAAGAAGGAAAAGAAACCACCTGTTCTTGTTGGAGAAAATCCAACTTAATCTTGTACAAGTTCATATATTTCCGTCGAAAAACTTCTGCATCCAGGAAACTTAAAGAATACTTAAGACGGAGGTAGATGATGTGAAGGAGAGACTGCATAAACAACACAAAATCATAAAGAATCAGGTATCTTACATTCTCCTATTTGTGCCCTCTAAGTAGGAAAAGGAAGACATAAATTTAAAGATACAAGTACTCTACATAATAAGAAAACAACAAACAAATTTGACAGACAATGTTGTCCAGAGCTATACAAAGGGGTTTAATCAAGGTTCTAAATATTAGAACTGAGGAAATTACTTTTCACACTTATAATTTGCAAATGATACAATGTTGGTCTATTTCAGGGTATCAGTATTTCTGTTATGTAAAGTGACCAGCCCTTTTACTGATAGGTTTTAAAGCTTTGCTTTTACAAACTCTTTCCTTTCTTTTTACTGGTCTAATGATTCCTTACTCTCCATCTTAGTGTAATCTTCTCTCTTTCTATTTGTTAGATATTGTTGGTTACAATATCTTATTTTAGTTACATAATGTGTTATTTGGGCTTAAGCCCCATATTTTTCTTATTCTTCATTATAAAAATATTCCACTATGTGTATTTTCTACACAAGGAGAGTTAACTCTATACCATGTTTTCACTATTTTCACTTGGAAGTTCTCTACTAATCCCATACATACATACACACATATACATATATATATATATATATTATATATATATATATATATATTTGTATGTGTGTTAATTTTCATCTCCCGATTAAAAGTGTGTGCTTAAAACAGGTTATTAGGATGCAAACCAATAGAGGACCACCTATTCATTATAATCACAAACTTGGTAAATCAATTGATGATATAGTTGTGGATAGACAATCTTATCAAAGTTTTGGTCGAGAAATTGGTCTACTTCCCTCACACTAGGGCAGACATTACCTATGTTGTAGGGGTTGTAAGTCAGTTCATGCATAATCCAAAGGAGACTCATCCCAACATATGTTTTATAACATTCTACATACTTGAAAGGAACTCCTTCTATTTACAAAGGGCAATGAGATGATCTTTGAAGCCTAGACAAACGCTGACTATGCAAGCTCTATAGACAATAGAAGATCAACCTCTGGATATTACACTTTCCTTGGAGAAAATTTAGTCGAATGGAAAAGCAAGAAACAAAATGTTGTGACGAGATCAAGAGCATAAGCATAGCTTAGAGCTATGGCGTTATTGATTTGTGAAATACTAAGTTTAAAGATAATTTTAAAGACTTAAGATTTATTGGAAGAAGCCTATGAGACTGTATTGTGATAAAAAGTCAACAATAAATATTGTGCAACATGATAGAACTAAACATGTTGAAGTAGACAAACACTTCTTCAAGCAGAATTGGATAATGAGTCAATATAAACACCACTCCCCAGGAAATCAACTTGCATATGTATTGACAAAAGGGAAAACCAGTGCTACATTTCAATCTATTGTTGGCAAGTTGGGAATGGATAACATCCACTCACCAACTTGAGGGCAGTGCCAAAATCCCTTGATTTATGCTGCATTTAATATTTCGGTGTACAATTTTAATTGCATAACTAAGAAATTTAATTACATTTCATAATTAGGAAAATTAATAGGCTGGCAGCATATTATATATTTATTGTACAAGATCTTTGATTATATCCATTATAAAATAGGATTTTAAGTTATTATGTCTATGTATTGTATTTAAGAGCAATTGCTCCACTATGAATAATATCATCATAAACATCTTTTCTGGAAATGAGGATTACCATAATCTTGTCCATGATGCCATACCTTGATATAAGAGGCCAAGGTGTCATAATTATTGCCATCTAACTTGCAAATACAGAGAATGACATCGACAAAGTAAAGATAGCAAATTCAGATCAAGAAGCAATTCCTGAAGTTACCATATTAACGTGGAGGAGAGAGAAAACTAGAACGGGAGAGAGAGAGTCCACACAAGGGAGGAGAGACATAAAATGGTCTCCAATCACAACGAAATCAAACACAACCCTTATTCAGAACAAAACTATAATACATGAACTTACAATCGATCACCAAAGTATCTCCATGATGTTTTCTTCAATTTCCTACGAACATCATAAAGAACTGATTGCTGAGCATAGTGCCACCAAAATATTTGCCAGCCTGCACATTTTCTTGGTAAAAGACAATGCCAAGGGCGAAAGCGTCCATACCTATATAATATAAAGATTAAAAATTTTAAAAACATAAAGCTGTACTTTTTACATAAGAGACAACATCATTGGAGAAGCAAGAACTGAACGAAAAGGAAACATAAAATTAGAATAATGCTATTAGGATGATCCCAGAAAGGTGATTTTCCCCACTTAATGCTCACGGAAGGGAAAACAACAAATTAATTACATTTGGATAATCAAAGCAAGATTTGAAGGAGCCATAGAGTAATTGCTGCAAGTACCAAGTATTTACACAATACTTCTGTTATCAAATGTAACAACTGAAAGTCTGAAACCAGTTTAGCCTGTCAAGAAATTACAACTCCTGAGTCACTAAACAAGTATTCATTTTTTATCCTTGTGATACACTATTCCGCATAAGAATGGAAGTCTGAAACCAGTGTTAGCTTTAACTCAGATAACAATGTGTATAATGAAAAGTGCATGGTTAGTGCTGAAGTTGATCAGCTTTTTGCAGAACACGAAAATTATAAATGGTTGAACAGTGTCTTCCTAGATAAATCTTTCGGCAATTAACAATAGATGAAAAGAATAAATCAATGAATATACTCGGAATTCATAAAAGAGAATTGTACTGTTGATATAATACTAGAATAAGTGAGCAGTCAATAACTGCAAATATTTTCACATCCACTGATCTGATTCCAACTACTGCAATAAGAAAAATTGACAGACTGACAATTTTTTACTTTAATATTAGATTACAAACCTTTTCTGATTCAGCTGAAGAGTTTCTACAATTCTTTTCCAAAATTAAAATTGTTTTAGAAAAAATTAAGTGACAGTAAATAATGGTCAGTGTTTTAACCTTGCCTAGTGTTTTCAACTTCATATATACAATGTTGTTAGATATATTATTCTTTATCTATCTTTAATTTATCTTTAAACAGTTTGTATTATCCTTATTTTATTTTGACTAGTCCATATTTTTCTATTATAAATAGAGTATCCAATGTGTATATTCAACACAAGAGAGATTAATCCATACATAGTTTTTCATTATATTCAACATGGTATCTAGAGCCAAGTTCTTTTGAGGAAAAAATTTTGTTGCCTCTATCATCTACTACTGTCAGTGGTGCCATCATCTACCGCTATCGTCTACCGCTGCCACTACCGGAATTTTAGTTTCGACCAACAATCACACGGTTTTGATCGTCTTGGCCAGGCGACCACAGTGCTGTCAACAAAGGCTTCATCGGAGCTCCTACGCACTCTCGATGCCTTTTGAAGTTGTGGATCTGCTCCTTTTTCCGTCATGCGTGGTGGCAAGTATCGTCTCCTTTTAGGCAGCGATTTAGAGTGTCAAGGTCGCTCTTTTTCCTCTATCAGGTTCATCGTGCATAGTCACACGTCCCGTCTCCTCTTAGGCAGCTATTCAGAGCATCGAGGTTGTCTTTTCTTTTCAGGTGCCTTGATGGAGATGTAGGATTTTTAAGGTTCTCTCTCTCATTCATCAATGACTTCTTCCGCTGCTATCTCTTCTGACCTCCCTTCTATCACCATGTGTTTACCCATCCCATATATGGTTTTTCTCACGTGGCAAAGATGGCTTTTTTTAGTTTATTTATAATCATGGTGGCTCTTCAACAATGACCTATTTATCCACTAGATGTCAACAATGCATTCCTCAACAACGATTTTCAAGAAGAGATTTACATGGAACAACCTCCCAAATTTGTTGCTCAGGGGAGTCTTTTGAGTTCGTACTTCGTCTTCTATGTCGTTTTTCCAAACCTTAACAATTTAATGTCACTCGAGTGCAGAAACAGATATTTTCAACAAGTCTTTATTGATTATATTATTAACAAGCTTGGTACATACAATTTGTATGCACAAAGCTTGAGGGGGAGTGTTAGATATATTATTTTTATCTTATCTTTATATTTTAATCTTTACCTAGTTTGTTATTATTCCTTATTTTTATTTTGGACTTAGCTAATATTTTTTCTATTACAAATAGAGTACCCTATGTATATATTCAACACAAGGAAGATTAATCCATACATAGTTTTTCATTATATTCGACAAATGTTATTTTGTTTCTATAAAAAATAACCATTTATGCATCATGTGAAAGTACAAAAACAACTATTGCATGCTATTGTAACATGTGCAGCATGAGCTTAATGGTCTATTTCCTTTTTCCTTTATGAAAGATTGAGTTATTTCCTTACAAGAATTGACTAGGTGAGATTTTCTTATTTGTTGTAATCAGACTCAATTATGACACAAATGTTTATCCTCATATTTTCAAGTCAAGCTTCTGGCAAGGAACTTACTTTTCTCTTAATCTACAAGTGCAAATATAATCCCACACAAGACACATGTGCTGTAACTGAACCTCGTCTAAGGATATAACCTGATAAATGGGGACAATATTAGAACTACATATAAGCAATGCAGGCAGAACAGAAAAAGATAAATACCAACATCTAGTTAAATTGACAAAGTTCACAACATGAGTACCACCCAAGCCACTCAAGTCGGCAGTGACAGACTACTGGGAGTATTGTCATCAAGCTTTGCAATCTGTTGTCCTGGAAAAGAAAATAAAAAGCAAAGCGTAAGTAGGAAGAAAGGCTTCTCATGGTCTTCATATAAATTAAACAAATACTGACCAGAAGGTTATGCATAAAAATAATAAGGGGGGGAATGCAAACACCTCCACTGCACAATTAATGGAAATATACAGTAAATACAAAAGAAGGTTGGAGTGTTTGCAAAAAATTGCAAGAAATGAAGTTAGTGGTTGTCAAAATTGTGGCTAAGGTCATAAAATTGCACAATCTTACGTGTTTTGGAGGCTGTCCATGCTGGGTCAGAGTGAAATCACTGATCTTGCTTGTTAGAACATAGAATCAACAAGTTTTGCTTTCCAATACCAATTTGAATAGGTTTTGTGTTTGGTTTCGACAATTCAGGTTGCAAAAATAAACTATACTTCTAGTTCCGTTACAGATAAAGTTCCCTACTATCTGTTTCTTCACACATAAATCTATCTCACTCTCTCCCTTGTTGATCTCTCCAGGTCAGTCTTCTGCTGTTGCATTAAAATTTTGGCCATCAGCATTCTGATCTCACACCTGCTGTTCTGACTTATGTTGATCTGGTTTCTATATCTCAGCTCAATCTATATTCTGAGTTAACTTGTCATGCCAAAAAATGTCCTCAAGTTTTGATGCTTGGGTACATTGGAACCATTTTATTGTGTTTTAGTATTTATAATTGTGTTATCATAACAATTCGTTGTGCGATGCATGAGATCCTTTTATAATGAGTTTTTGAATTTTAGTTAAATGTTGTAATTTAGATGTTATTTTTGTTAACTCCATCGTTTTTCATGCATATATAATTTTGCATTTTGAATAGGATCCTACAATCCATGTGTTAGGATTCTGAAATTTACAATATTTCACCCCATCTCAGTCCTTGGTAGGATCTCAATATAAACAACATTGATTACAATTACTATAGAATAGGAAATTTTACTGACCGAAAAGTACATGGGGATAAAACATCCGGACAAGTAAATTACAAAAGAAAACAGCTAGAACTTAAGATATTGAATCATGTAACAGGGCATGCCAACTACTTTGCATTGCTAACTAAGAAAAACAATTAAAGAGACCATAAGCAGGACATCATACACATTGTCTCTCTTTCGCTGTAATAGATATAGATATATAAAGTACAGTTCATTTTCTAATAGTGATTTAAAATCATAAATAAAACAACAATTAGTAAGATACAAAGTTAACATGGAATTATGGAGAATGAGGGTTCTACTAAAGATGTCCATACCGAAAGAATTAAGGTTGCATCACATGGTGCCAATATAGAATAGTAATGTTTTCCTTCCAACCTAATATTGCTTGCTGAGTAGGAGTCACCCGTACTGTTCATAGTTACCAAGTCCAAGGAGCCATGAAACAATCTGGAATAAAACTCCAGCCCCTTGACTTCTACAATCTTATGTTCTTGGCCCACTCTCATCCTTCCATTTACAGACCTGAAATATAGGAAGAAAAAACAAGTCACCTCTAAGTCAAATCATTTGCAACAGGACAACATTTCAAACAATAACATTAACCATACCAACAGAATGTTACAATTTAATTTGAACTTTAAAGGAGGTTAGATATATGATTTGATTGTCAGAATTATGATTTGATTTCATTAAATAGGAAGGTATGATAAGATTTGATAGGGAAATATCTTACCAAAAATTTCTCATTATTAGATATTGATTCCGTTATTTATCGTTGTTAGGTATATTCCATTTTATGTTAATTAAGAAAACATAGTCCTTATGTTAATTTTGTTATTTTTACATATTCATTTGTATTTGGACTTTAGTCCACATTCTCATTATTAAAATATATTATCCTATGAGTATTTTCTACACCAGGGAGATTAATCCTAAACCTAGTTTTCACTATATTAAATATGGTAACTAAAGTCAGGATACCTTGATAACCATTTACACATTTTTTTTTCTCGTCATTTGTACCGTCTTCATCGTTGTTTCCGATGTCTCCGTCGTCATTTTCGTAGTTGGCACTGCCATTTCCACCGTCGAAGCCACTGTTCGGGTCAACAACCACCCCAATCAGATCGTTCGGGTGAGGCTACCATCACGCTATTGACAATCACCATAGGCATAAACTCTCATTCATAAATTGACTTCGTCAAAGAAGCTTCACCCAAGGCTTTGCTAAAAAAAGATATTGATTTCTTGCTTACGGACAACACTGCTCCCACGCCTTTCCCAAAAGCATCACATTCAATACAGATAGGTTGGCTGAAATCTGGCAGTAACAACATAAGAGTTGTGGTGATCACCCCTTTAAGTTGCTGCAGAACCAAATTACTTCTTCAGACAAAAAAAAAATTCCCCTTTTTAAGCAATTGTGTCAAAGGTCTTGCTATCATCCCATAATTGAATATAGACCTTCTATAGCAGCGTGTAAGACCTAAAAACCCACTCAAAGCCATTATGGTGTTCAAAATAGGCCATTGAAGGATGGCGAATATCGTTTGGGAATCTGTTTCCCTCCTTGTGAGAGATGACATGCTCCAAATATTGGATTTGTAGCTTTCCAACTTCACATTTTTCCAATTAACATAAAACCGATGTTGTTGTAGTGTCATGAAAACCTGGTCTAAGCTATGCCAATGATCCTCCCATTTTACTGTAAATCAAGGATGTCATAAAAAAACTAGATAAACCTCCGAAGATATGGTTAACTTATGCTGTTCATGGCTCATTGAAATGTGGATGGAGCATTTGTAAAACCAAACGGCATGATTAAAGATTCATAATGCCCCTGATTAGTTTGAAAGGTAGTTTTCTGGATATCAGATTCATACATGCAGACTTGATGATATCCAACCCTCAAATCTACCTTTGAGAAGAATTGTGACTTGTGTAACTCATCTTATAACTCTTCTATGATCGGAATTGGAAACTTGTCTAGAATATTTGCTTTATTCAAGGCACAATAGTCCACAAAAAATCTCCAGCTTCCATCTATGTTCTTGATTAAGATGACAAGACTGGAATAAGCATTGTTGTTGGGTCGTATGATTCTTGATTACAACATCTCCCCACCTAGCTTTTCTATTTTCATATTTAGCATTTATAGGTATAGATAAGGTCTCACATTAATAGGATCCACACCAACTTTGATCGGAATCTTATGACCAACTTTGGTTCAAAAAAAAACTCCCTTACAATCCTTTAGAATCTTTCCCAACTCACTCTGTTGTTTCTCAATCAAGTGGTTTGTCCTTCATCCCTAGACGCAACTCGACATTCGTCATTCTCCATATGATTGAAACAACCTCAATTTATGTGTCTTTCTTCAAAGATTGTGGAAGTCACAAGAGATTTAGCCAAAGTTGGGTCACCCTTAATCTTAATTGGTCAACCTTGTTTGCAGAAATTAGTTGTTAGAGTTTTCCAACTTACCTACTTCACAAACTTTGCTAGCGTGTTACACCTAGGGATCAGATCCACCCCCTCCTAATTCAAACAAAAAGAACAAACACCTCTCTCACCTTGTATTCTTCCAGTTGTACTTTCACATCCCGAAAAACATCCTTGCATTTGTTTTCTGGTCTCCATCTCCCCATCTTATGATGTAGGGTGGCATGGTTTCCACTTGCATGCTGAGTGACTTCACTAACCTACCAAAATAAAGTTGTGACTAGCCCCACAATCAATTAGGACCAACACGAGTCTTCCCTCACTCTTCCCTATAGCTTCATAGTGTGGGATTGGGTCATACCTCCTACCACAAACGATGGACAAGTCCAACCGTTGAAATTCATGATCAAAGTTCTCCTGATTTTTCTCCAAATACTCCTTAACCTCATTTGATTTTTCATCCGTCATGTCCCCCAATTCATCATCTTAAGTCAAGATGATAACTCAATTTTTTTCTGGGAAACAGTGCCCTGGGCAGTACACCCCTCCATAATGAAAACACCTTTCTTCTCTTCACCTCACATATTCCAAAACATGGCAAGTTTCTAATTCCTTTATTTTTCATGCAAGTGGTTTCATTCCCTCCAATTCTTGATCATGTGAGATGCCTGGCATTCTCATCCTTGTTGTGCTGCCCATACCATTTATCCACTACAAATTACTGAGGTTTTTGAAAGTCTCATCTAGTGATACAACTCGGATCATCAAGGAAACCAAAAGTTTGAGGTATTGCAGCAAAAAGAAGATTCACTCACTCGTCACGATTCTGCAAGCTTCTCCCACTATGTCATTAGCTATATGATTTGGACAAATTAATAGAAAGATTGTGGTGGTATGATTGGAAGATACGAAGCAAGTTTTGCTCAAATGCAAATGTCATGCCCTCCAACATTTGTTACAAGTTTGACTCATGATACATATGCTCCAACTTGAGTTGGGTGTCAAAGATATTATTTACCTCATTAGCTCTAACAACCAAAGGGCTTACATGGTTCTCTCAAGCAGTAACCTTGAGGTAATGACATTTGTAACAAGTTTTTTATTATATGATTACATATGCTTTAGCGTGAAAGGAGGTATTAGAGATATGATTGATTATAAGTAACTAGGAAGCATGGTATGATTTGTAGTGAAATAAAATCTTACCAAATATTTTCCTATTAATTAGATATTAATTTTGTTTCTTATGTATCTCTTTTCCATTATAAATAACAATACTCACATGTACAAAACACAGAATTCTTTATATACCGTAATTTCTCTTGTATATTTTGTACGGCACCATAAATGAAGTAACTTTCAAACCAAATATTCCAGAGATATCATGACAAACTCGAGAATACAATCATGAAAACATTAAGACTAAATATTCCACAGCCCCGAAATAGATCCAGAAAAAACCTGTCTACAAATCTTCAAAAAAAGAAAAGGTCTAATTATAAAAGTAAGACGAAAATAAAAGAGCATTACCCATAAGATTTTTGCTTCATGGTCAAGCTAGTAAACTTTAAACCAAACATAACATGCCTGAAAAGCATTAAAAAAAACAACTGTCAGTCAAGCAAATCCTTAAAATATGTAGATTTGAAAGCAACATGCAAGACCTGGGTCTGAAAGGGAATATTTGCAACATAAACATACCATATCATTCTGCATATCACTGTATAATACGTGAAAATTCCTTATGTCTACTTGAATGCTGTCAAGGATCTGAAAGAAAAGCAATAAGGCATAAACAATATTGGGCAGAGAAGTGAAAGGAGACGAAGAGAAGAAAGTAGAACATTAGTCGCACCAAGTATGAGTGTCTTATTAGATAGAAAAAGATACTTGATAAGAAGAGATATAAAATATTACACAAATAGGAGAATAAAATATCTTCCACAAGTAGACTACTAAAACAGAAAACCACAAAAACAGAACTCAATAGCAACTATCATGGCACAAATCTTCATATAAATTTGAATTGTACTCTTTCTTCTTTCCTTTGTTTTTTTTAATTATCAGTCCAAGTTCCAGAAAAGAAACTTAAAAAAATGGAATCAACCATGCATACAAACAAAAAAAAAAGCAAAAACGAAGTCTTAGCCAATTAAGCCATAAGAAGGTTTATTAATACTAGAAGATAAAGCTTAGAAGAAAACCATTCCTACGCCCTTTCCTAGCAACAACAGTGCTTCAAATAGAGGTAGTCATTGACATGGTACATCATGTGACCAAGTATTTTGGTTCTTGCTACCTACATTATTCTTAAAAAATCAAGTTTAAAAACAGATATGATTCTACATATATATACATATTCTCTATTCCAATATTTTGAAAAATAAACCAGAAATTTTACTGGTAAAGGCACTAGATCAAGGTTTAATGGTTAAACCAATGTTGTCAAATTCGCAAGTATACTCCTAAACTGGCATGATATTGGGAGTTTTGGTGACCAAGCGAGCAAACTTGGGGGCCAATACAGAGATTTCGCAAACTGTCGCTAGATCATGATTTTGCTTGCAAAATTGGATGATTGTCAGTAAAATTGATAATGAACTGAGTCTGTGTGGACCTGGTTTTTTTAACACAGAAATAAATAATCAAATCATATTCGGCTTTTCGGGTTGGGTTCAGTTACCCAACTTTAGAGTTTAAAAAACACAAGCCTATTTCTGATAGGGATCATAAACGTGAATCAGAACTGTATCTACATCTCTGCAAACACAACCGCAACATCCACCATTGCTCTCCAGTTGCCACTGATGGCCACCAACAACCCTTATATCACTGTCGCAGGCCATCGTCAACACTCATATCACCCTCACTGACCCTCCCATTACTCTCCAAACACTCCCATCATTATTGTTAATTCTCCCATTACCATCCTTGTCGTTGAAGCTCACATTACGTTCTGACATCATTGAAGCTCCCATAACTACCAAAACCTCCATTGCTGCCACCAAACATCTTGCAATAGCCAACTGTCGAGGGCATAACCAAACGGTTCCTAGTTGATGGTGGGCCCAATGGTTCAAAAAATGCTCTATCCACACTTTAAGAAAATTGAATGAGGGGCACATTACAAATGAAAATCATTCCTGGCATGTACTAAATAACACAACCTTACAGGAGCTTGGTCCTTGACACCTAGGACAAACTAGACTAGATTGATATGAACAGACTAGCCTAGGCAGAAACAACAATAATACCTAGAGAAAAAAGAAATATGGTACCTTTGTAGTGACATGAGAAATGAACGATTGTCCAGCTTGACTACCTGCAGAAAAAAAACTATTAATAAAATCCAAATATACAAATACTTCACCCAAATATTAGGTTGACCAGATCATGGATTAGCACAAGAAAACAGGTCAAAAGTTGAAATTTAATCGTGTGGAAGATTATTAAATTCTCAAATGTTTGTTAGAAAGAAGAGAGGAAAGTAAAAAACCAATGGAGGATACTGTATCCTAGTATCCTCTGTAGCAAAATATGCAACAACAGAAAAACATTTGCTCCCAAATCATTGTTTTATCGGGATTGAAAACCACACAAACAGATTAGCCAATAAATAATAAAAATTCATGGTCTCAATCTTGTCTATATAACATATGTATTAGTGATAGGAAACCTTCAATTGAAGGTGTGAAACACGAAAGAAATGAAAAAAGAAAAAAAAACAAAACAAAACAATTTTTTGTAAGAAATATTATTTCTCCGTAATCTTCCAAGCATACAAGAAAAACAAAGGAAATTACTTCCTTTCTCACAGGGCTTACCATGTTCTAAAAAACCTACAATTTCTCTCCCCTTCAAACAACTGAATATAAAGGTTTTCCACTAGGACTGTCCCACTAACCACAACAGGTGTTCCCCTAACTGCAACCTCTGTTCCCAACTGAAACAGCTGTCCTACAGCTACCAAACAACTCAACTACATTAATTTCTACTTTTCCTTCAACAGTACACTCTCCACGCCCTCTCCTTATTCTCCATTCTATCAATTGATCACTACGCATCCCTCCCTGCTAAGTTTAGGGCTAAGCAAATGCATGAATTGAATTATTCTGAAATTGAATTTTAAAGAGGAATCAACAGAACTGAACTAAATAGTATAATGGTAATAACATCATGGTTTGAGTGAATTGAATCAAATTAAATCAATCTAAATTGTTTTAGAATTGCTTGAACTATCTGAATTGTTTGAATTATTACCAATGCACATCTTAATTTAGAATAGATTTTCCAATCTCATAAGTTACAGTCCAATTTAGTTCAAACAGTTCTATTTAGGAACAATTTAATCGTTAAAAATCAAACTAGTATAACAATTCCGTTTAGTTATTTTAAACAATTCAGTTTTTTAATACAAGTAAATTCAGAATTCATTTAGTTCAGCTCAAATATTTTTGAAAGCCCAAGATGATTTTTGTATAAATGAAGAAATTGAAATTCATTCACTAACATGAGAACCTAAGCTTAATAAAAGTCCTTAAAAATATTCATTAGTAAGATATGTTGGAATTAAGAAGGAAACTTACCACGGAAAAATGGAAAAGGATGTCAATGTTATTGTTATTTATTAAGTAAACAATAAAAACGAGCACAATGGTAGATATACGTAACCTTAGCCCAAGAAGCAGAAAGGTTGTTTGCAGGATATGAACCCATGAGTCAGGTCTCAAAGGCTCAACCGAACTTATGTTATGTAATGAATATGAAAAAAAAAATCCCAACAGATAAAAAATTAGGCTTCAATATATGTAAAGGCAGTGTAGCCACAGGCAGAGGGAGAAAGAGCTTATCAAGAAGTTAGACCTTAAGAATTGATATCATACAGAAGAAAATTTCAGTTTTTACTTCTTTGGAAAAAGCCGCAAACACTTCTTGAGGCCTTCCATTCAACTTATAAATAAATTCCCTATCTCTCAAATCAAGGTTTGATACAATCCAAATCCTTATTGGAGCCTGACAAATAGTTTGCCTTCTTACATAGAAAATAAATAAAATATATTTGAACATAAATGCTTCAAATCATAGTTAAATGGCTTACCGCACACACGTCTGGACAATTTTCCCAACTCTGCTGCTGCTAGCTTCGCCTTTTTTCCAGCAAATTCTCTTTTTTCAACAGCATCAGCACTCCACTATTACAACAGCATAGAATAGCTAATAAAGACTACAATAAATAAAGTATATAAAAAAATGTTTGGCTACAAATGACACAACTAATAATCAAAAATTCCTTTACTATGTTTTTTTCATTAATGGTTACAAGTCATTGGTTATAGGTTGCTTTTGAAAAAAGAAGCTTGAACACAGAATGCTGGAATTAAGACGTACCTCTTGATCACCTCGCTGTGATGCAGAAATAAAGACATCCTCTAAAATTATTATAATGGGGTCCCAAGGCTTTTTCCATGGAATTTTTATGCTTAACTTTCCAACTCGACCTAGCCAAATTTTCAAGCTATGTTAGGAAAGAAAAATAGTTCCGACAAGGATTTTCCTACCCACTTATTTCAATCAACCACTTTATCAGAAAAAATAAAAAACAGAACCGCATAATTATAAATAGAAGACAAAGATAATGGAATAGTAAAACAGGTCCAGATTTTTTATCGAAATGAGCTGCATTTGTTTATTATATATTTGTAGAAGGATGAGTTTGCTATACCTTGTTTTAGTGCAAAGGGAAGCTGGAGATAATCAAATGCATCAAGTATCAGCTCTACATTCTCCAGTAGTACTTCCTCTGAGCAATAATAAATGTCAGCTCAAATCAGTTCTCCAAAATTCTTAATTTAAAGTGCAAGCATTTATGATTAAAAGGATTAGTAAAATGCAATAGTATAGCCAAATGGAAGCACATCATGCATTTAGTCAATCTTAGTTATCAAACTGTGAATCCCCATGCTAATTTTTTACATTATGTATCATAATTTGTATTCAATCATAAGACGAATGACAATAAAAACCAACTTCAAGTATATTATTTAGATGATACAGTGTTCGATGTAATAAATTTAGACTATAAATAAATGGAAAATACTTAAACTTAAGTCTCATAAAACAAAATTATTAGCTATATCTGAGTTGTTATATCCTCTATTTTGAAAGAACGGAAACGAAGCAATTAACAGCCAAATAAAGTGCACCAATTGAATGAACGAATGAGTGACAAATGAAGTAGTGGAAAGTGGACTAATTAAAATTTAATTGTGCTCCTTCAATTCCTTTTCATTTAACAATTTAAGTTTACATGACTATTCAATTTCTTTCATGAGAATAGCTGAACGAAAAGTAAAAAAGAAAAGGTGATGAATCGTTGATTCGTATCAAGATGCAAATATTCATGCACCGTAAGTACGCTGACCTTTCTCCTTAATCAAACATGCATAACTACTGAAATTCAAAATGCCTGTGAAGTTGAAAAATCTCACAAAAAAGCATTTACATATAGGAAAGTTTACATCCTTTCGCCACTGAGAGACTGGCACTATGCAATAGCGCTAACTTTGATTCACAGACTGACAGAATCAACAACTAAACCTCCATTTTGGCCTTTCAAAGATACAAGTCCTATCAGTTTGAACAGCTCAGCGCATCATAAAGACTCATCAGTACCAATTTTTAAAATCAAAGAGGTCCTTCAACAACCTTAAAAACAGAAATTCAGCTTTTCAAAAGGGCAATTTGGTGTCAAAGTTATACACTGAGGCAATATTTTGTTGAAAATATTGTTAGAGGACCAAATAAATATTATTGGAAGTCCAAACTGAGTTTCCACTGAAATCAAGTTCACAAGAATGAGGGGCAGCAGCAATGGCGTCAACGTAAACACTAGGGTAATTCTAACACGCACTAACATACTCCTAAAAGGTTAGTATCAAAACAATAGGAAATATAATTACTGAAGAAGCACAAGGAGTAAATCACGTACCGAGCCTAATCTTCAGTTGCTCTTTCTGGATATCTTTGAAATATCGTCCCAGGTAACCCAGAAGCAACTGATGAACCAATCCTTCAAACATTGCGGGAGAATTATCTTGGCAGTTGCAACATTAATACCTTAGTTTGATTTCACTCATATCAAACACAAATCGAATATCGTATTATAGATTTTCTCGTTTGATATCGTTGTGGGCAGAGGAAGGCAGCAGGGAGAGAAAAGAGGGGGAGCGAAGCCAGTGCGAGTTTCGAATGGAATAGAATAGAATGGAATACGCTACTTTTTTTTCTTTTCTTTTCTTTTTTCTTTTTCTTTTCTGTAGGGTTTTTTTGGGTTTTCATGGTAGGAGTGACATGTCGTTGGTGCTGGAACCCCGCGTTGGTGGAGGCGGGTAGGGAAATGGTTAAATATTTCAACAATTTACATTCTATGTGATTGGATTCAACTGAGAGAAGTTTTAAAATGTACTTTTATTCGATAAATAAGTTTTGTTTTTTTAGCTAATTTGTATTGAAATTCGTATGAATAATTTTTAATCTAACCAAATATGTAGTTATTGTTTCACATTTGTTAATTGTTGTTAATAAATAAAGGAATGCTATGGTAAAATTAGATGACAAAACGGCTTGTCATTAGTTTCTTAAAAATAGATTAAACCGCGTAGCAGGAAATGTCACAAAGTATTTTACTATTTACATTTTAAATAACATGTGCAATGAAAAACAATATTTTCTGTTTAAAATTTTTTACCTCAATTTCATATTACTCATATTCTTTTTAGAGATTACATTTTACAATATTTGCATTTTACTTTAATCTAATTATTCATATGTACAAGTTAGTTTTATTTATAATATTTTAAGTTTAACTTCATTTTTTTTATAATTCCATATGTTAATACATTTCAATGTATCATTGCCTTTTAAGTTTTCTATATGCGCATATACTTTTATTTAAAAACTTTAAGGTTAAATTCATGTTGTTTTAATTTTGTACACGGATCATATTTCATAATATATTATACACATTTCATTTTAATACAATAAAATATTATACATTGTATTCATACTTCAAGAGTATATATATATATATATATATATATATAACTATTTTTAATAAAATATTATTTACAAAATAAATAACAATTATCTACGATAAAATAATTTATATTAATAAGGATAAAATCGATAAACAAAATTTAGACAAAAAAACAAAACAAACGTGAGGAGGTTACAAAACAAAACCTCTTAATTAATGAAATTTAAAAAAATAACACGTGTTCATAAAAATATTTTTTTTATCATAATTAAAAAATGTGATATATAGAATAAGTGATTTTATAATTTTACTTTAGGTAATAAATTAAATTTTAAGAAATAATTAGACAATTTAATAGTAAAATTAAATGGCATCTTATTTTATGTTTGTGTTTCATTTAACCAATGATCCACATTTTTAAATGGCTAAATCAATTGACAATATCGAACACTAGGGCATTTAACGCAGAGACAATGTTTTTAGTTCGTCAGGTTGTTTTGGAGTAGTATCTCAGTCACATTTAGGTGCTTGTTATAAGAAGGGATGTGGGAAGCATCTTTTCTTTATACCTGGTGAGTGAATTTTTGAGTACGAAAATTTTTGTTGTTGGAAATAATGTAAAACCCTAAAAAATTGAATATTAGATGTGGTAGAGTGTTTTAAATAATCATACTTCATTATTTTATTTCAAAAATATCAAAGGTATAAATATAATTTTCTAATCAAGAGTTTCATTATGTAAGAAGTTTTATCTCTCTAAAACTCCCTTCTTTAAAATTTGTTTCTACCTTCTCTTTAGAAATCTTAACTCCATATTCATCTATCAGAAGATCATAGATCGCTTGAGGGTTCCTTGGGACGAGATCTTCCTTTCTAGCCGATTGATTTCAGTTATAGAGTAAGTTGGTTTCTACCATTCTTCCTTAAATTTCTTCACTTTTTTTAGGGTTTGAGTCTTCTCTAAAGATTCTTTATTGATTAGTAGTATTGAGGGTATATTCTGATCAAATTATCATGAATTGTAGGAGCAAATAGAGATCTTTGAGTTGTTGAAGAAATTTTAGAATTCTTAAAATCGTTTGAGCGTCAACTAGGTAAGGGAAGTTAGTTTGTTTGGTTTGGATTTGGTATGCATGTAATATTTAATGTTTGTATGATGATGTGATGATTGAGTTGCGAATTTTAATTAAATTGTGAAATTTGGTATCATTAGGTGCATAAGAAAGGTGGTGTATTGAATTGAAAATTGATGCATGTTGGGTGTCTGGTTTGCCGTTGTTAAAATTTGTTTATTGATGAATTTGTAAATGTAAATTTAGTGAGTTTGAGCTAATAGGCATAAAAATGAAAGTTTTAACAAGTAAGATTCTAAGATCATGGTTTAAGNCAAAAATTCCTTTACTATGTTTTTTTCATTAATGGTTACAAGTCATTGGTTATAGGTTGCTTTTGAAAAAAGAAGCTTGAACACAGAATGCTGGAATTAAGACGTACCTCTTGATCACCTCGCTGTGATGCAGAAATAAAGACATCCTCTAAAATTATTATAATGGGGTCCCAAGGCTTTTTCCATGGAATTTTTATGCTTAACTTTCCAACTCGACCTAGCCAAATTTTCAAGCTATGTTAGGAAAGAAAAATAGTTCCGACAAGGATTTTCCTACCCACTTATTTCAATCAACCACTTTATCAGAAAAAATAAAAAACAGAACCGCATAATTATAAATAGAAGACAAAGATAATGGAATAGTAAAACAGGTCCAGATTTTTTATAGAAATGAGCTGCATTTGTTTATTATATATTTGTAGAAGGATGAGTTTGCTATACCTTGTTTTAGTGCAAAGGGAAGCTGGAGATAATCAAATGCATCAAGTATCAGCTCTACATTCTCCAGTAGTACTTCCTCTGAGCAATAATAAATGTCAGCTCAAATCAGTTCTCCAAAATTCTTAATTTAAAGTGCAAGCATTTATGATTAAAAGGATTAGTAAAATGCAATAGTATAGCCAAATGGAAGCACATCATGCATTTAGTCAATCTTAGTTATCAAACTGTGAATCCCCATGCTAATTTTTTACATTATGTATCATAATTTGTATTCAATCATAAGACGAATGACAATAAAAACCAACTTCAAGTATATTATTTAGATGATACAGTGTTCGATGTAATAAATTTAGACTATAAATAAATGGAAAATACTTAAACTTAAGTCTCATAAAACAAAATTATTAGCTATATCTGAGTTGTTATATCCTCTATTTTGAAAGAAAGGAAACGAAGCAATTAACAGCCAAATAAAGTGCACCAATTGAATGAACGAATGAGTGACAAATGAAGTAGTGGAAAGTGGACTAATTAAAATTTAATTGTGCTCCTTCAATTCCTTTTCATTTAACAATTTAAGTTTACATGACTATTCAATTTCTTTCATGAGAATAGCTGAACGAAAAGTAAAAAAGAAAAGGTGATGAATCGTTGATTCGTATCAAGATGCAAATATTCATGCACCGTAAGTACGCTGACCTTTCTCCTTAATCAAACATGCATAACTACTGAAATTCAAAATGCCTGTGAAGTTGAAAAATCTCACAAAAAAGCATTTACATATAGGAAAGTTTACATCCTTTCGCCACTGAGAGACTGGCACTATGCAATAGCGCTAACTTTGATTCACAGACTAACAGAATCAACAACTAAACCTCCATTTTGGCCTTTCAAAGATACAAGTCCTATCAGTTTGAACAGCTCAGCGCATCATAAAGACTCAACAGTACCAATTTTTAAAATCAAAGAGGTCCTTCAACAACCTTAAAAACAGAAATTCAGCTTTTCAAAAGGGCAATTTGGTGTCAAAGTTATACACTGAGGCAATATTTTGTTGAAAATATTGTTAGAGGACCAAATAAATATTATTGGAAGTCCAAACTGAGTTTCCAATGAAATCAAGTTCACAAGAATGAGGGGCAGCAGCAATGGCGTCAACGTAAACACTAGGGTAATTCTAACACGCACTAACATACTCCTAAAAGGTTAGTATCAAAACAATAGGAAATATAATTACTGAAGAAGCACAAGGAGTAAATCACGTACCGAGCCTAATCTTCAGTTGCTCTTTCTGGATATCTTTGAAATATCGTCCCAGGTAACCCAGAAGCAACTGATGAACCAATCCTTCAAACATTGCAGGAGAATTATCTTGGCAGTTGCAACATTAATACCTTAGTTTGATTTCACTCATATCAAACACAAATCGAATATCGTATTATAGATTTTCTCGTTTGATATCGTTGTGGGCAGAGGAAGGCAGCAGGGAGAGAAAAGAGGGGGAGCGAAGCCAGTGCGAGTTTCGAATGGAATAGAATAGAATGGAATACGCTACTTTTTTTTCTTTTCTTTTCTTTTTTCTTTTTCTTTTCTGTAGGGTTTTTTTGGGTTTTCATGGTAGGAGTGACATGTCGTTGGTGCTGGAACCCCGCGTTGGTGGAGGCGGGTAGGGAAATGGTTAAATATTTCAACAATTTACATTCTATGTGATTGGATTCAACTGAGAGAAGTTTTAAAATGTACTTTTATTCGATAAATAAGTTTTGTTTTTTTAGCTAATTTGTATTGAAATTCGTATGAATAATTTTTAATCTAACCAAATATGTAGTTATTGTTTCACATTTGTTAATTGTTGTTAATAAATAAAGGAATGCTATGGTAAAATTAGATGACAAAACGGCTTGTCATTAGTTTCTTAAAAATAGATTAAACCGCGTAGCAGGAAATGTCACAAAGTATTTTACTATTTACATTTTAAATAACATGTGCAATGAAAAACAATATTTTCTGTTTAAAATTTTTTACCTCAATTTCATATTACTCATATTCTTTTTAGAGATTACATTTTACAATATTTGCATTTTACTTTAATCTAATTATTCATATGTACAAGTTAGTTTTATTTATAATATTTTAAGTTTAACTTCATTTTTTTTATAATTCCATATGTTAATACATTTCAATGTATCATTGCCTTTTAAGTTTTCTATATGCGCATATACTTTTATTTAAAAACTTTAAGGTTAAATTCATGTTGTTTTAATTTTGTACACGGATCATATTTCATAATATATTATACACATTTCATTTTAATACAATAAAATATTATACATTGTATTCATACTTCAAGAGTATATATATATATATATATATATATATATATATATATATATATATATATATATAAAAATATTATTTACAAAATAAATAACAATTATCTACGATAAAATAATTTATATTAATAAGGATAAAATCGATAAACAAAATTTAGACAAAAAAACAAAACAAACGTGAGGAGGTTACAAAACAAAACCTCTTAATTAATGAAATTTAAAAAAATAACACGTGTTCATAAAAATATTTTTTTTATCATAATTAAAAAATGTGATATATAGAATAAGTGATTTTATAATTTTACTTTAGGTAATAAATTAAATTTTAAGAAATAATTAGACAATTTAATAGTAAAATTAAATGGCATCTTATTTTATGTTTGTGTTTCATTTAACCAATGATCCACATTTTTAAATGGCTAAATCAATTGACAATATCGAACACTAGAGCATTTAACGCAGAGACAATGTTTTTAGTTCGTCAGGTTGTTTTGGAGTAGTATCTCAGTCACATTTAGGTGCTTGTTATAAGAAGGGATGTGGGAAGCATCTTTTCTTTATACCTGGTGAGTGAATTTTTGAGTACGAAAATTTTTGTTGTTGGAAATAATGTAAAACCCTAAAAAATTGAATATTAGATGTGGTAGAGTGTTTTAAATAATCATACTTCATTATTTTATTTCAAAAATATCAAAGGTATAAATATAATTTTCTAATCAAGAGTTTCATTATGTAAGAAGTTTTATCTCTCTAAAACTCCCTTCTTTAAAATTTGTTTCTACCTTCTCTTTAGAAATCTTAACTCCATATTCATCTATCAGAAGATCATAGATCGCTTGAGGGTTCCTTGGGACGAGATCTTCCTTTCTAGCCGATTGATTTCAGTTATAGAGTAAGTTGGTTTCTACCATTCTTCCTTAAATTTCTTCACTTTTTTTAGGGTTTGAGTCTTCTCTAAAGATTCTTTATTGATTAGTAGTATTGAGGGTATATTCTGATCAAATTATCATGAATTGTAGGAGCAAATAGAGATCTTTGAGTTGTTGAAGAAATTTTAGAATTCTTAAAATCGTTTGAGCGTCAACTAGGTAAGGGAAGTTAGTTTGTTTGGTTTGGATTTGGTATGCATGTAATATTTAATGTTTGTATGATGATGTGATGATTGAGTTGCGAATTTTAATTAAATTGTGAAATTTGGTATCATTAGGTGCATAAGAAAGGTGGTGTATTGAATTGAAAATTGATGCATGTTGGGTGTCTGGTTTGACGTTGTTAAAATTTGTTTATTGATGAATTTGTAAATGTAAATTTAGTGAGTTTGAGCTAATAGGCATAAAAATGAAAGTTTTAACAAGTAAGATTCTAAGATCATGGTTTAAGGGAAAGTTTGTAGTTTTGGGAATTGTTTTGGGGTCGTTTAGGGCTTAGTTGGTTTCTTATTGTATAAAAATCTGATAAATCGTCTGGTAAGAGATCATCTGGGTAAGGGATCATCTGGTAAAAGATCGTCTAGGTATAATAGATCATTTGGGTAAAAGTTGTTTGGTGAGGAGTCGTCTGGTAACAGATCGTCTAAGTAAGTGTCGTCTGGTAAGAGATCATTTGGGTAAAATTTGTCTGGTGAGGAGTCATCTGGTGAGGGATCGTCTAACAATGAGTCGTTTGGGTAAGAGATCGTCTAGGATAGGGGATCATCTTGTAAGAGATCGTATGGGTAAGAGTCATATGGTGAGGAGTTGTCTAACAATAACTAAGTTGTGGGGAATCTCGAATTTGGGGTTCTAAACATCCATTTTGGATGTTCTTTAAGTCGTTTTGGGGGTTTTGGATCCTTCCAGAGCTGTTGGTGAGGGTTTCTAGACTATTTTCTGTATCTAGTGAGTGTATCAAACTACTATGAAGAAAATTGTATTATTGTGTGATTATTATTTCCATATTATTATAAATGATTTTACTCTTATAATACCTTGAGTATGTGATGATTGTTATAAGGTGATTAATGGAGATGTGTATACATATATTTATGATTTGTGAACATGTTTATATGTATGTTTATGGTGGATAGATATGATGATGATGAGTATGTTGTGAGAATGAAATATGGGTGTTGTGAGAAGAATCTCAAGGAAAGATTATATGGTAAAGAAAGTGTGGTGAATGCTTGATAATTTGGAGAGAAGGTATCCTTGTATTCTACCAACCATTTAACTCATGTTGAGTGAATATGGTAGCAAAGAGAATGACAGGAGGTCTTAACCTAGCCATTTGGGTCGTGTAAGGGAAGATTAACCTCATGGGTAAGTAGGTCGTGTGACCCTTGTTTATGACTTTGTAGAGATATAAATACTACCATAAGTGTAATCCTTCAACAATTGGATTTGGATCATTGAGTGGAAAGGTTAAGTTGTGATATGATCAAGTGTGTGATGGGATGTTGTGAATGTTGATATATGATTTCTTATATTAAATTGTAATATGTTGATTTCTTTGTATATTAGTTTACCCTTGCTTTTGTATTGCTTGCCTATTTGTGTTTTTTCTTTTACAATGATCACTCTAACTGGTCTTAGAGAGGGCATGGTTTCAGTTGTTCCAATGGATGAAACATATATATATATATATATATATATATATATATATATATA